TCAAAAATAAATAAACGTTAAAAAAATAATAATAAAAAAAAAAAGAGGAGTCACAAGTGAACGGTGTTAAGTTTTATGTTGTAAGAAAGTAATTCCCTCGGTAAAGAGAGAAATCCAAAGTGAGAATTACTGGGGGAGAAAAGAGCTTTATAGCCCTGTTGGCCTTGAGATGGATATGTTGAGCACACGGGCATGTAGACCAGAATCTGTGAGACAGATTAGGGCTGTAGGTGAAAACAGAGATGTGTCTGTGTCCTGTGCGGGCCTGCTCCAGCTGTGTGGGTGAATACACGTAACCAGGAGAGAAAAGACCCTAAATGCCTTCTTCCTGAAAGGAAACAGAGTGTGATTGTTGGAGCAGAGATGGGGAGTTCAGATTTAATTTTTTTTTTTTTTGAGAGATGGTGGGTTTTACATGGTAAATTATAAAGTCCCAACATTGGAATAAAAATAATCTGGTAAGATGTTTAGAGATACTTGATGAAGATTGACCTGAGTGTATAGGAGTGCTTAACTGAGCACTTAACACATTCCCATCTGTAGATGTGGTTTGACTTTCTGGAAGTCCTCTCCGGGTAGTTTTGCTTTCTGTTGGTAACGTTTTAAAACATCATCTCATGAAACAAATTTAACGAGACATTCAAACAAAATATTCTTTCCGTCACTATCAGGTTTCTACGCTGTGTTTCAGATACCAGCGTGGAACTGAAAGTTGAATGAAGCGTGGCAAGAACGGCTGAGGGCTAGACTAACCCAGGTGTGAATAATCGTACACAGACAAAAGCCTGGGGGACTACTTGCTTTCTGCCTTGTCCTCAGGCTGCAGTTTTTAATCTGCCCACAAACGTGGATTTCATTTTTATTATCTGATGTTTCCCTCTGCTTCCAGGTGCCCAGATGACTATTATGAGCCAAGCTTGTGCAGAAAGGTGTAATATAATGAGGCTGGTGGACCGTCGGTGGGCAGGGATTGCCAAAGGAGTGGGCACCCAGAAGATTATTGGAAGGGTACATCTAGGTGAGTAAAAGGCACTGTGGGAGTCTTTTCAGGGTAGTGGGTGTTTCACAATTTGTTTTGTGTAGGCATACCTGATCCAGCAAGCCTGATCCCCAGAAATGTTAAATCCTGTGTTCTGTCAGAGTTACACATGTACATGTTTTAATTTGTTACAAGAAATCAGTCCCTATGTACTTCTATTTTCCTGCTCCTTCGAGACCGCTTTCAACTATGTTAGCCCATTTCTTGTGGTGCTCACCTCCATATTTCGAAATAACATGTTTGTCGTGCTGTCACTGACACGTAAATACTGTGGAGAGCTGAGCCACCTAATTGAAGATGATTGCTTTTCTCTTTGTGTTGTTTGTCTTACAATTAGTAATTGTCTTCTTTTGGTCATCTGGTATTCTAAGTGTTCCTCAGTCCCCAAACACTTACCTAGTTGTGTAAATCTCCTTTATACAGTTCATCCTGTTGAAGATTCTTCTAGAGACTGGACCAGTGCTGTAGAGCTGCTTCACAGCTGTTGTTTCAGGATCTCTCTTGACTGGGTCCCAAAGGCTGCTTTCCTCTTGCTTAGATGGGATTATGTGAATCCTCGTCTTGCTCTTTGTAATTTTGCTCCTCAGTTTATTGGAGGGTAGCTTCCAGAGAAAGAATATAAGGGAGGAAACTGAGTCCTTAAATACCAGAATTTGTCATTGTTGTTGTTTTCCGATATTCTACCAGTCTGGCTAAGTGGGAAGTCACTTTGTTTTCCACAGTTTTTGTCAGTGTTGCTGCGGAGAAGCTGGCTGCTGTCTCAGTTCTTGATCCTATATTTGAAAGGTTTCTTTTCCATTTCTGAAGCTTATAGAATCTTCTTTGACCTCAGTGTTGTGGAATTTCAAATTCACAGTGATGCGCTTGGGTGTAGATCTGTCTTCATCCACCGCAAGGGGTACCTTTCACTTCCTCTCCCCCGCCCCCAGGATGTTTGTTACTCGGTGGGATAACGTCCTATCCTAGACTTGTCCTGTAGTTTCCTTTCTTTCCTGTTTCTTTCTTTCGTGTGTCCTGGGTGTGGTGGGTGTTTGTGGGATTTCCTCAACATTGCCTTCCAGCCTTTCTGTTACATTTTGTATTTGTTTGATGGTTTTCTCAGATACCTGGTGATCCTTGGCATCTGCTCATAGTGAAGACTGGGACACCAAAAGGCTGTTTGGAACATTACTTGGGTAGGCAGCCTTGGCGATATTTGGTGATCTGGAAGTTGGAAGGGGGGAAAGGGCTAGAGGCTCAGTAAACTTAAACTTAATCCCCCTGGGATTCAATCAGGTTCTTGTGTCTTTGTCTTTCTCCGTGTGCACCTCTGTTTCACTCTCTTGAGAAAATAAACCTCTAGTCTGTTGTTGGGGTGAAAGGAGATAGTCACCTGGCTGAGCAGAGGTCAAGAGAGAACCCCAAGGTCTAACTGTGCCTCCTACATAGACCTTCACCCAGTCTTGCTACTTTGGACTCACCTCTACCCCTGCCTGCAGAGGTACTTGTTCATGAAACACTTGGGGGTTCTGTGATATTAATTGGCTTGCTTCCCAGTTTTCCTCACTGTCCTCTGCTTTCTGTCCCAAAATTACGTTTCAGTTGTCTCTTCTGTGTGTGTTTTTTAAATTATTCATTTATTTATTTATTTATATTTATTTTTTGCCCTTAGTGATTTGTACCTTAAAAAAGATAAACTTTTATTGTAATTTTTCAGGAGTAAATGGAGATAAATACATGTGCTCAGTCCTTCCTTTGTAACCAAAATTTTTTTTTTCTTAATTCCTTAAATCCCTTTGAGACTCAACCACCAAGTAATCTCCTTCTGACCCTTTTCCCTTGCATTTTATTCTTGTAAAAGGTGGTCGTATAATGTATAGAATTTCATACTCTGTTTTAAGAAAAGATAACATGTTCTCAGCGTTACTATAATTTTCATAAGCACCATGCAGATGCATGGGATTCTCTTATATGGGTTTAATGGTCAACTTTTAGGATAAATTTTTTTCCCCCAATATTTTGTTACTGTAATATGGCAGTACATTTTTGTGGGGTTTTTTGGGTGCACATTTTAATTTTTTTTTCCTTACTAAAGATTCCTGTCAATGAAACTACTGAGTCAAAGGTTATGAACACCTAAAGCCTCTTGATGTATTTCTAATTTGCACCAAAATGGCTTTTCCAGCACTTCGTCAGTATTCATCTTAATGTCCTTCTACAATCAAGTATTACTAATTTTTAGTCCCTTAATTTACAGATTTAAAAAGTGTGGTTTTTTTTTATTGTAAGTTGCTCTTTCATTGCAAGTGATCATTTCTACCCATTTTTCTCTTTTTTGTTTTGTAATATAGTTGTCTGTTTATTAGAGTCTTTTGTTTCTTTTATTGATTTATATAGAATTAGGGTAGTTTAAATACGTTACTGTCACGTACTTTCCTACACACAGTAGGACTGTAATACCACAAACTGGTTTGCTTCAGAGTCTGGGTTTGATTTTTCCATGGTTTTAGGTAGGAAGATAATAGGATGAGGCAAAGTAAGTCTCAGTCCCTCGCGTCCTTCCTTGTGGATGGAAAGGTCTTAGCATTTTGCAGCTTTGGCTACGACAGCAGGCCGAAAACCTATGATCATAAGGGAAATCTAAATAAAGGAGAGCTGTGTCATGGGTAGGAAGACTCAGTGTGTCAAAGGTGAGAATTCTCCCACATTCATCAGCAGTAGTCACTGTGGTACCATCAAGATCTCAGTAGGTTTTTTGTGAGACCTGATGTGCTCATTTAAAATCAGCCC